ACCCTCCCATTTCTCTCAACACAAGACACCTTCAATCTCTCAGCACTAACATCACTTTCTTGCAAAACTTTCTTGAAAATTATTCCATCGATGCCCTCGAAAGTCGTATTGCCGACGCAGCCTACGCGGCAGAAGATATTATCGAATCCCACATTGTCGACAAAATTCTTCATGGACACAACACAAGCTCCACTTTCGACTTCATTCGACGTCTTGAACAAGTGATGCAACATTTGGAAACGATCAAGCGACAAGTCGCAAACGTTAAAGAAAAGATCAGAATGGAGCAGCACCAGCTGCGTAAATTTTCGATATCCTCTGGTTCGGCAAGATCCCGTGTGACGAGGCAGCAGAAGAACATAATGGTGGGGTTAGGTGATGTCAAGCTCGACATCATGGATAAGCTCACCGGAGGATCGTGCAGCCGGCAAACCATACCGATTGTGGGCATGGGTGGCATAGGTAAGACTACTCTCGCGAGAAATGTTTATTTAGACTCGTGCATAATGCATCACTTTGATATTCTCGCTTGGGCTACCGTTTCTCATGAATATAACGCGAAAGAGATTCTTACCGAGCTCCTTGTCTGTCGGAAAGAAAAAGGTGGTAGCAAGGAAAGCTTGAAACGGTTGAGCGAACACGAATTAGGAGAAATGTTGTATAAAAGTTTAGTAGGTCGGAGGTACTTGATCGTGTTGGACGACATGTGGAGTGTCGAGGCGTGGGATAGAGTGAAATTCTTTTTTCCTGAAAATGATAACAAAAGTAGAATGATGATAACGACTAGGCTGTCGAACTTGGCTTTCGAATTAACCGGCGGCACTCACGGCCATGTGATGAGTTTTCTAGACGAGGATAAAAGTTGGGATCTACTCTGCCAAACTGTGTTTGGCAACCAAGAAGCTTGCCCGATCGAACTCGTAGAAAACGGGAAGAAGATTGCTAGAAACTGCAAAGGCCTTCCTCTGTCAATCGTCGTGATCGGAGGACTCCTTGCAAAGTCAAAAATGACACGAGAATACTGGAAACATATAGCGGGAAATCTTAACTCGATCGTGAAATCAGCGGAAGATGAGCACTGCTCGAAAATACTGAAAATGAGTTACGACCATTTGCCCGTTCACCTAAAGCCGTGTTTCCTCTACATGGGCATGTACCCTCAAGACTCTGAGATTCGCGTCTCGAATCTCATGAAGCTATGGATTGCCGAGGGATTCCTCAAGCCGATCGCAAGTAAAAGCTTCGAACAAGCCGCGCAAGAGTACTTAAACGACCTCATCGACCGAAATCTCGTTTTCGTCAGCCGTAGACGATATGGCACGAAAATAAAGTACTGCAAGATCCACGATCTCGTGATGGAACTTTGCGTGAGGGAAGCTCAGAAGCACAAGTTCCTTTTTTTCACCAGGCTTTACAATCGAAACACGCCACAAAACATAATGACTAACCAGCGTCGTGTGGTCGTTCATGAAGGCACTGATCCTCAAGTTGTTTATGCTTTGAAGAAATATTCGCCGCTCGTCCGATCCTTCACGCGCAAGTCCTACAGCCTTGCGGAGTGGTTAGATTTTAGATTGATGAGGGTGTGGAACGGGCTTCACGCGAATATTTCTTATTCACTGATGCCCAGTCCAAGTTTAGTTAACTGCCGGTATATTGATAGCCTCAATATAACGAGTCGGGATATTCCGGTCCCACTCTTTTGGAATCTACAGACGATATTTGTCACATCCGGAAGCGCGTCTATCAAGCCCTTGCAGATTTGGAAAATGACTCGACTCAGGCACCTGAAACTCGACCTTCTCTCTCTGCCTGATCCGGACAAGGAAAATTTCATTCTCGAGAATCTGCAAGAGCTTTCGACCGTGCACAACTGCAAGTTCAAACCGGGAGTGGTCAAAAGGATCCCAAACATCAAGAAACTAGGATTGTTTTACGACGAGGAGGTAAGAAACTTGTCGAGCTCCAGCCTTAACAATATCGGTCTTTTTGAGAGGCTCGAGTCACTTTCCCTTCAATTCTCATCGGTGAACAGGCAGAGTCGGAGTTACTTATCCGAGAGCCTCGTTTTCCCACCCTCGATCAAGAAGTTGACTTTGCTGGGCACGGAGCTCGGGTGGGAGGACATGGCAAGGAAAATAGGGTGTCTGCCTAATCTCGAGATACTCAAGCTAAAAGTGAGCGCGTTCGTGGGGCCCGAGTGGGAGACAGAGGAAGGTCAGTTTTGCAGCCTCAAGTACTTGCTCGTCTCGTATTGTACTGATCTCGAGAGATGGAAGTTGGAGAGCAGCCATTTCCCGTGCCTCGAGCAGGTCGTGCTTGAGAAGCTGAAGAAGCTGAAGGAGTTGCCACGTGAGATTGGTGATATAATGGCGTTGAGATCGATCGAGCTGGAATATTGTAGCCATGAGGCCGTGGTTTGTGCTAGAGGTATAGTTGAGGAGCAAGAGGAGCTTGGGAATGAGGAGCTTCAGGTTCGTGTTGTGCTGTCGAAGAAGATGTACGAAGAGCTCGAGAGCTTGGCGGCAAGTCGTAGTAATTTCCAAGTACAGATCAAGGAAGAGTTCAGTGTGCCCTCCCTGCCATGAATGAACTCATATTGAGTTTAACACTTTAATCATTTCTGTCTTAGTTTAATAAGTAGTAAGAACTCATATTGAATTTAACACCTTAATCATTTCTGTCTTCTTAAGAGAAAATGTAAGTGGTTTCTCAAGCTTGGTCTGACTGACATTCTAGTTTGTGTGTATTCTTTGTTTTTTTGGGGAATTTTTGCTTGTTTCTCTAGTCTCTTTGCTTGGACACAACCTATTGTTTGTGGACTACCTTGATTATCCAAAAATACTAGTATGAGTTGCAGTGTACGGATAAGAGATATTCACTAATATTTATAAATAAAAGTTCTTATTAAGTAATATTTACAATTACAAATATGGAATCAATATGTAATACAATTACCTATTCTAATTTAATAAAAATGTTATATAAAGTTTAAATTGTACAAAATTACATAAAAATGTCTATTTAAAAATAGTACATAACCTGTGTGGTGCACATAACTAATAATAAATCACATTACATTAGTTTCAAAATAAGTATCGTTTCAAAATTTTTATTCAAAAATTCGATTTGACTATAATGTTATTCCAAAAAATAGTTATTTTGGTAAAATGTTATCATATATTTAACAACACATGTGAATAATAAGTATTTATAGATTGTTTCATTACTTAAAAATAATCTATTTTTGTATCAACTATTCAAATAAATAAATTAAGTAGTTGAGTAATATATTAAATTATAAATAATTTACTATTTCGTTTACGCCCAAGTTATTTGACCCGCAAATTATGAATAATTATTTTTTTAAAAAAAATTTAAATAATTTTTATTTTTTTCAATATATTATATACCAAATTTA